ATATATATATATATATATATATCTATGTATGTATGTATGTATGTATGTATGTATATGGATGATAGTTTGGTCAAAAATAATTGCTCAAGTGAGCAAAACTATATTTATTCTAATCTAAAAAATTAAATAAAAAAAATTAGATTGACATGGATTTATGAAAGACCATAAAATCCCACTTTCAACCCAAGTAAAAAGTTGAATTGGTTGGATTAGTTCTGCGATTTCATTTTTTAGATGAGATAAAAATTCAAGTACTCAACCAAGTGCTTCCATTCCTTCGATGTGAATGCCGAATGCTATATTTTCATAAGCTGTTAAATCATTATTTGTTCTACCGTGTTTATGCACCCACTTCTAATGAAATTTAAATTAATACATTAGTCGGTCTGATGCAATAATTCATAAATGTCTATTTTAGATATATAAAATGTTCAGAACAACTTTTGTGCAATATTAATTTTCTTAATCTATCTTTCTATCCATCTACTTATATAATTAATACAGTCGAAATCAGCATTAAGAAGCCTGTCGTGTACTTCCCCTGTTGCGTCTTGTAGCTGGCTTTTAGTGCATCAGCTCTCTTTATAGTCTTGTGGTCTCTATCCTTATAGCTGCGACATTCTCTAGCAATTAACTAACTATTCATCTCCCATTCCTGTTTAAATAATTTCGATTGTTGATTTTATGTTGTAAACAATATTAATTTATATCAACTAAACAAATCTAAGCGATTTCTGGTATCTTACAAAACCTGCGTTTTCTTCTCCTTCTCTTGGAGCTGATCCTTCTGATCTTAGATTTTTGAATTAAAAAGTTTTTTTTTTTTTTTTCATGGAGAACTTCGGATCCAAATGGTAGCAGAATTAAAACTAACAGATGAAAAGGTCACACGATGACATCAATACCAGCTGGAAGAAAGTTCAGAAATGTATTGAAAATGCTTTCTTTGTCTTATTAAAAGCGTCAATATTCACTGGTGTTGTAATATTTCACCGCTTTGATGTTTGTACGCACTAAGGCTGCATCCATGACGTCCGCCATTAATGTCTCCCTTCTTCTGCTTCTAACTTTCGCTGCCTGTGGTCTAACCGCCGGTTGCTCTTCTAAGCATTCATGGCGAAGAAGGATGGAGAACAGGTTGGTTGGCTACTCTCATGTATGGACGTTATTCTCTTTTAAATTTATTGTTGATTTTCTTATCTATCCTACTGCACAAACACAAATTTTATGTTGTTTTTTTCTTAAGAAAAGAAAAGTTTTTTTTTTTTTTTTTTTTGCTTAGCTGATGGTTAAATGTAGAAAAATTATTTAAAAACAATTTTTTTCTAGATTCTAGCAATAAAAATGAGTGCTGAATAATTACTTTGTTGGCTTAAAGCTTGCTGCCAGCAAAAAATTCATTCCTTTTCGAAGAGGCCACTATCTCCGACATCCAAGCCGCTTTCAATGACGGCCGATTGACTTCCTGCCAGCTTGTTCAGTACTACCTAGACCGAATAACTACTCTCAATCCCCACCTCAATGCTGTTATTGAGATTAACCCGGATGCACTCGATGATGCAGCCAAAGCCGACAATCAGCGCAACGCCCAAAACCATCTCGGCCCTAAATGCTCAACCTTTTACTTTAAACAATGAAAAAGCTCTTAAAAAAGAAGAGATTTCTTGGGCAAGATCATGAAAAGTCGCAGCCTTTGGCACTGCACATAAATAATGGAGGAAGACGTTAGACGAGAAGGTACCCGGACAAAACTAATATTTGAACTTTATGCGCATTTGTAGCCGCAACACTTTACAGGGTTCAATGCGTAATAAATTAATAAGTTGAAAATTATATAATTTTTATCTAAAATATCGTATTCGTGAGTTTTTTTTTTTTTTTTTTTTTAAAAAAAAAAAATTTTTTTTTTTTTTTTTTTTGCTTAGCTGATGGTTAAATGTAGAAAAATTATTTAAAAACAATTTTTTTCTAGATTCTAGCAATAAAAATGAGTGCTGAATAATTACTTTGTTGGCTTAAAGCTTGCTGCCAGCAAAAAATTCATTCCTTTTCGAAGAGGCCACTATCTCCGACATCCAAGCCGCTTTCAATGACGGCCGATTGACTTCCTGCCAGCTTGTTCAGTACTACCTAGACCGAATAACTACTCTCAATCCCCACCTCAATGCTGTTATTGAGATTAACCCGGATGCACTCGATGATGCAGCCAAAGCCGACATTCAGCGCAACGCCCAAAACCATCTCAGCCCGCTGCACGGCATCCCTGTTCTCGTCAAGGACAACATAAACACCCACGACAAACTCAACACCACCTCCGGATCCTTCGCTCTTCTCGGCTCCATCGTGCCCCGAGACGCTGGTGTCATCCAACGCCTCCGAATGGCCGGTGCCATAATTCTAGGCAAAGCAAGCATGAGCGAGTGGGACAATTTTAGATCACAAGTGCCACCCCATGGGTGGAGTCCACGAGGGGGCCAAGCCCGAAATCCTTACTCTAAGACAAAAAATCCATGTGGGACCAGCAGCGGTTCTGCCATAGCAGTGGCTGCAAACCTTGTGACCGTTTCGCTTGCAACGGATTTGGATGGCGCTATCACGTGCCCTGCAGTGGTAAACTCGGTGGTGGGCATCAAGCCCACGGTTGGGCTAACGAGTCGATCGGGGATGGTTCCCATCTCCCCGAGGCTACAAACCATTGGGCCAATGGCACGAACGGTGGCAGATGCAGTGGCACTATTGGATGTGATTGTGGGATTCGATCCACTAGATGCTGAGGCGACCAAGGCTGCGAAGAAGTTTATTCCAGAGGGCGGATTCTGTAAGTCCTTAAAAGAGGACGGGCTGAAGGGGAAGAGAATTGGGATTTTACGTCATCCCTACTTTGACATATACTCAATGGGATCCATGGAGGCTAATACATTTGCCGCACATTTTCAAACCATGAGGTGATTAACTTTTCTCCCCGTTAACAATAGATTATTAAAGTAATCTTCTTATTTATGCATTTCAGATCGTTTATCAAATCTGAGAAAGGAGTTTGAAGAAATGATGTTATGTTCTTAGACTAAAATGACAAGTCTATGAATCAAGACATTTATGCATATGGATACAAATAGAAAGAGTCTACTAAGGAAAAAAATTCTAAGAAACTCATTTATAAATAGAGCAAAGTATTGTTTGATAAACTATTTAAGATATCTTCTGTAGAACAAGAAAATTACAAATACTTTTGATCAGAAACTATTATTCCATTAATTTCATTGTCTAGCATCAATTTTAATTGAACTAATAGAGATCTTTGATATGAATTCAAATCTTGATAGTAAATTGAAGACGCATAAAATAAAAACATCTTCTTATATATTTTTGACATTAAAAATATCGCCTAATAAAATAATGTAACGTAAGAGTAGTTGATCATAACAAAATAGGAAAACAATTTTGTCTTATTGTTTCAAGTAATTTTTTGAATGGTGCATTTATATGAAGTTTAATTATGAAGGACATTGTTTTCGATGGTTGGACAATTCTTTAGAATAGTTTGTTAAATCTTCTTAAATTAAATGAAGAGTTGTGTCGATAAATAAAAGAGTCAAACACAAAATAATTATATATGAAAATCTTAACAAATTTAAATTCAAAATTAATATAAATTTCCATTATCGTGTGATAGATTAAAAGGTGCTATCTTAGTGGATAATCTTAAAATGAGGAATGCAGAAATGATGGAAAATCTTATTGCAAATGGCGAAATCATTTTATTATTGGCGGAATTCAAGCTTTCACTCAATGCCTACCTCAAAGATCTTGTGTCTTCCTCTGTACGATCTCTCGCAGATGTCATAGCCTTTAACAATAATCATCCAATTGAGGTAATTTATAATTGCCCCATAAATTTTATTCTAATCACCATGCATGTATTTGGCTTGGAAGCCACTTAATTAACTTAATATTTTCATTACCATTCCATGTAGGAAAACATGGATGAATATGGACAAATAGTTTTTTTAGCATCACAAAAAACAAATGGGATAGGTGTAGCAGAGAAGAAGGCAATAAAAAAAATGGCCCAACTCTCTAAAGAGGGAATGGAGGATCTAATAAAACAAAAAAAATTAGATGTTGTGGTGTTCCCTGAACATTATGCTTCAAATGCAATGTCCGTTGGCGCCTTTCCCATCATCAGTGTTCCAGCTGGATATAATAGCATTGGTGAACCCTTCGGTATTTCTTTTGCTGGATTAAAAGGTTCAGATGCCATATTGATTGAGATAGCATATGCCTTTGAGCAAGCAACAAATGTCAGAAATCCACCTCCAACACTATTTTGATTATACAACAGATGAAAAGGTACAATGATGATAATCTTTATAATATTGCATCATGTTTCCAAACAATTGATAAAATTTATGTATATTTTAGGTATTTCTTGTATTTACAAATAATGTCATCATAAATTTTCCTTCATAATATATTTTTGTTAAAATATAGGCAACTTAGGGAGCAAAAGAGCTAAAATGAAGTGCCTAAGGGCTGCCTGGGTGCCCCCTTGCAAGTTCCAGATGGGCCTTACTAGTCCCAGGTACCTTCTTGGCAGCTCTAGTGCCCAAGTGCCAGTTTTGAGCGCCCATATGCTAGAAGCTAGAGAAATCAATGCACATGGACCAATTTTGGGTGCCAAGACGCCCAAAGATAGAGCACCAGGCATAGAGACGCCAAGGCACAGTGCCTAAGTGCCACAATGCATCACCTAGCCACAGCTTCTCGCAGGATTATGGTTTGTAACATTTCTTTTGCATATTTTTAAGCTAGAAGGATATGAAGCCAAACCAGCCTTTCGAGGTGATTTTTCCTTCATCAATCATTTAGATAGAAATGAGATTTGAAAAATTTTTATGTGTGTTAGTGTTCTAACGTGTTTAGTGAGTGTTTCTACTTTCTTTTATGTGCGTAGAAGTAAAACAAAGTGATATTCATTGTAAGAAGAAAATTCAAAGTAGTGCAAAAGAGGAATATTTTCGGGTTTGATTGTCTTTCATTTGTGTAAAATTTTTCCTTGGATTTTAATAATTATTTCTTGGTTTTCTTCAAATGAGTAGGAACTAAGTATCTTAATTCCTTTAATTGATAATCTCAAATGAGTAGGAACTAAGTATCTTAATTCCTTTAATTGATAATGTATGCAATTTAGTGGCTTCCTTAAATTGTCAATAATTTTTTTATAGTAGCACATTAATATTTTAATCTTTTGTGTTTAGATTGTTAAAATGAAATATGTTCTAGTACTACAATAGTATGTTGACCTTAGTTTTGGTCAACAGTTTCCATTGGCTTAAATCCAATCTCATCAAGATATAGGACCTCCCTCATAATATTACCAGATGATTGAATTAAGCTCGTATAAGCTATAAGTCAAACTCTACTTGAATTGAAACTTGAACTAATCATAATTTAACCTAAAATTAAAATCTAACTGAACAAAAACTAAATTCAACCAATTTAAATAGAACCAAACATAACCAACTTCAAATAAACCCTAACATTATCAATTAAATTCCTTTAATTGATAATCTATGCAATTTAGTGGCTTCCTTAAATTGTCAATAATTTTTTTATAGTAGCACATTAATATTTTAATCTTTTGTGTTTAGATTGTTAAAATGAAATATGTTCTAGTACTACAATAGTATGTTGACCTTAGTTTTGGTCAACAGTTTCCATTGGCTTAAATCCAATCTCATCAGGATATAGGACCTCCCTCATAATATTACCAGATGATTGAATTAAGCTCGTATAAGCTATAAGTCAAACTCTACTTGAATTGAAACTTGAACTAATCATAATTTAACCTAAAATTAAAATCTAACTGAACAAAAACTAAATTCAACCAATTTAAATAGAACCAAACATAACCAACTTCAAATAAACCCTAACATTAGCTATAAAAATCACTTAAACCAACATGCACACTTAAATTATCATTTTCTCTATAGATCCTTGTAGAACTTAAAGCTCCATTATAAAAGTTGCATGTCGTTTATTATTACATATAAAGTCTAAGCAAACATGTTTGTTGATTTTATAACATAATTTGTATGAAAAAATTTTTACTTCAAAATTTCATGCGTGAATAGTGCCCTACCACCCCAAAATTATTATATTTCTTCACAGACCAAATTAGTTATCATAATTTTATTTTGTAAATTGCATAGTGTTCATTATCACATAAGAAAAATACGCAGAACAATTTTATAATGCTTACGCATAATTTTGATGTAATTTTTTTTGTTTTCATAAATGAAATATGGTCATACATAAAATTTTTCAACAAAGCATTATTGATCAAAATTGACTGCTCGAGTGTGTCTGAATTGTTGAAACCTTTCAAATGGACCCCTGCATGCCCAAATCAAACTCTATTTGAAGCTTGTTGGTGTAGTAGCTTGCATGATTACATATGATGAGACTCTAATATGAGAGATGGAGAGGTCAGAGTTAAAAGTTATTAATTCGGATGATGTGAATGCGGTAGTTTCATAGATGATTATTCCAGCTTCTTTGCATGAGAGGATTAAGGAAGCTCAGAGGCTAGATAATGAGAATGCCAAATTAGTTGATCAAATTTAGTTAGGGAGGAGACCTGAGCTATATGTGGATGATCATGGGATATTGACTTGTGGGAATCAACTTTAGGTTCTTCTTAGTGGTGATTTGAGAAATTGGACATTACTTGAGGCTTTTTATTTTGGAGGCCTAGGTTGAAGAATGAGTTGGTAAAGATAATTTTGATATGTGAGACATGTCAAACGGTAAAAGTATAGCTTCAAAGACCTGGTATTTTGTTGCAACATTTGTTTATTTCTGAGTGGAAGTGGGAGGAGGTCACTATAGATTTTACTATGTATTGTTTAAGGTCTAGGCAGGTCATGATGCAATATGGGTGGTGATTAACTGGTTAATGAATTATATATATATTCACTATATGAGATATACATAGTAAATGGAGACACTGACATAATTAAAAATATGTGAAATTTTAAGACTACATGGTATAGTGAAGTTTATTACTTCTTATTATAATAATAGATTTATTTTCAATTTTTAAAAAGGTATCCAGTAAGGTACGAGAACTATGTTAAACTTCAGTAAAACTTTTTACCTGCAGGCAGATAGTTAGTCTAAGATGATTTACTCTAGTGTTGAAAGATTTATTACGGTTACGTGCACTTGATATTGGAGGTAGCTAGAAGGATCATATTTTTTTTTATTTTGTTTTACTATAATATTAGTTTTTAGTCAAATATTGGTAATACAACATATGATGCACAATATGGTAGATGATGCAGAACATTTTTATTTTAGACAGAGGTGGTTAAGAGAAGACTCAAGGGTTCTAAGTTCGTAGATGATACCGCTGAAAGTATCAGACTAATCCAAGATATATTGAAAGTAGCACAAGATAAGAAGCAGAAGCATTATAACCCCAAGCATCGGATAGCTGATGTGTAGATAATTATGCTAATATTTTTTTATGATTTACACATTCTTATGGAAGAGATTATTTTACTTGCTTGTACAAAAGGTAAAGAAAGTGAGGAAACATTGAGGAGACTTAGAGCAAATGAGCATGTTGAGGACTAACACATATAAGCCAAACACATGTGTTCCTAGGAGACCATGCCTTCTACAACACACATAGAGATTTGTGCCCATTAACTGCTTGGAGCAGTTTTGGCAGTACAGAAAGCTTGTCATGGGAATTTGTGTAGGAGGATGTGGAGTGATTTTTATGTTATGTAAGAGTCTATATATGGCCATGTATCAGGGACTTAAATGGATTGATGAGCATTGGTTATTTTGAGGGTTGGCTTGCTGTAGAATCCTTCTTTTTCTTCTAGCACAGAGGATAGGGAGAGCCTTCAGAAGCAGCAGCCCAGGTTCTAGAGTCGTGTTAAGCATCTTCAGGTCATTGAAAAGGACGCTGTAGAATCCTTCTTTTTCTTCTAGCACAGAGGACAGGGAGAGCCTTCAGAAGCAGCAACCCAGGTTCTAGAGTCTTGTTAAGCATCTTCAGGTCATTGAAAAGGAGAAGAAGATAAGTTTTATTTGTCTGTATTGTTGTATTTTATTTGTAAGTGTTTGGGTAGTAATTTCTCTTGTTTCAATGAATCTATGTGGTGTCTTTATCATGCTTCTTAAGTAGATTTTCTTACCCTACATTGTGATGATTAAGTAGGATGTATAGGACAGAAATGTGCTTTTAAATTATTTTTAATTATCAAATGAAATGATTAACCTTCAGATCTTCATTTACTGTTCATTTTGGTCAAGTAAGATATTAAAATGTGTTATGAACCATCATAGCTCGAGAGAGTTGTGGTAGAATCAACTAGGCTAGTCACACTGAACTATAGCGTATAGGTTGATATGCCATGTAGAGAGATGCAAATGCAGGGAAAATATACTTTGACGTCTTAATTACGAGATTTGAGAAATTAAAGTCGTTTTAACTAATCTTCTTTATGCACTCATGAGAGGGTAAAGAAGAGTGTTGTTCATATTTGTCACTAGCCTATTATATTATTTGCACTTTACATTTCTTATACTCACATCATTACAAGGGTGAGTAATTTTAGAACTTGATATTCATAAATTCAAACAACGTTAAGTATGATAACTTGTGTAGGGTTTAAATTTGTTATTTGTTGAGACACAGTATGTTAGATTATTGAACATAAACAATTTTAACTATTCTGGCTAGGACTAAAATCAGTAAGCTAGAGCTTTTCCTATTTTGAGTTATCTCGTTCTCTGTGGGATCAACATTTTGGACTTTGAAATTCGATATTACCGATATGACGCGTGCACTTGCGTGAGCCCCAATGTAGGGTTTAAATTTGTTATTTGTTGAGACACAGTAGGTTAGATTATTGAACATAAACAATTTTAACTATTCTGGCTAGGATTAAAATCAGTAAGCTAGAGCTTTCCCTATTTTGAGTTACCTCGTTCTCTGTGGGATCAACATTTTGAACTTTGAAATCCGATATTACCGATATGACACGTGCACTTGCGTGAGCCCTAGTGCGTAGTAACACATGGAAGAAGTATCAACTATTAAGTTTCTTTTGAGACATTTTATCTTTTTTAAACTTAGTCCAATGAAGGGGGTGATTAGATTTTGTATAATGGGTAAGTTGAGTCTGAGATTTATTGGGCATTTAAAAGCGATTGGTAGGGCTGGTAATTCTATTTATTGATTATTACTAGCAGATCATATATCATATGTGCATGAAGTATTTCATGTACCTATGTTAAGAAAATTAATTTTTAAATGTTAATCAGCATTACTGATGATGAGATTGAGATACATCCTAACTTTACATATAGAAAGTAATATAAGAATATTTTGCCCTTTGTTGTGAGACAAATATGAGCAAACAGATCCATATTATTAAAGTTTAATGGAAACATAGATCAGAAAGGGAAGCCATGTGGGAAAATAAGGTTCATATGAGACAGTGTTATCCATAT